ACCTCGTGTGTGCGGCGGGTGCGGCTGGGGTCGTTTTGGTTCCTCCCCTGTGCTCTGCAGCGAGTGGTTGTTCCTGTCTGCGGAGTTCTGTGCGTTTCTTGAATCAGTGGTTGCAGATCGCATTGGAATGGCTACATGGTTGTTCTCATCTGGTGTTGCCACGTGCGTAGATACGTGCAGGTTTGTGACGTGATGCTGCAAAACGGATTGTAATGGCTGCGTCAAGTTTGTTTGGCCTGCGGCTGCATGCGTGATACTATTGTCTTTTGGAGCTGGATCTCGTAAATAGTAATGGAGTGGCTGCATCAAGGCTGCGGCAGTGATTTGTCAGCAGGTTTTTCAATTTTGGCGCTGGTGATTCTCCTTTGTAAATTTCCTTTTAAAAAGTGCTTCAAAATCGTTTTTTTTCTGGCTTTCGCGTCGAGATCCATCCAGTTTTGGAGCTGCAATTTCCGACGCTGTTGCGCGTAGTTCTATGGTGTATCGGAATTCAGTGTCTGCAGATCGCATTGTAGTGGCGGTTGCTTGGTGCCGGGCTGCATGCGTAAGACTATTGCCTTTTGCAGCTGGATCTTGTAAATAGATGTAAATAGTGTTGGCGTGGCTGCATCAAGGCTGCGACAGTGATTTGTCAGCAGATTTTTCAATTTTGGTGCTGGTGATTGTCCGAGTAAAATTCCTTTTAAAAAGTGCTTCAAAATCGTTTTTTTTGGGCTTTGGCGCCGAGATCCATCCGGTTTTGGAGGTGCAATTCCTATTGTCATTATGTACAAGAAAGCTTCTCTGTGTAAAAACTTTTTTCTGTAAAAGCTTGCTGTGTGTAAAAGACTTTGTGTGTAAAAGCTTGCTGTGTGTAAAAGCTTCTCTGTGTGTAAAAGCTTCTCTGTGTAAAAGTTTCTGGGTGTGTAAACGCTTGCCATTTGTAAAAGCATTCTGTGTAAAAGTCTTCTGTGTAAACGCTTGCTGTGTGTAAAAGCTTCTGAAAGAACTTGCTGTGTGTAAAAGCTTTCTTTGTGCAAGCTTTGTAGTACAAAGTAGTACTGGGACATACTTACTTTGTGCAAGGTTTGTAGATGTTTGTAGTGCAAAGAAGTGCTTTGTGCAAGCTATGTAGTACAAAGTAGTACTGGGAAGTGCTTTGTGCAAGCTTTGTAGTACAAAGTAGTACTGGAATGTGCTTTGTGCAAGCTATGTAGTACAAAGTAGTACTGGGAAGTGCTTTGTGCAAGCTTTGTAGTACAAAGTAGTACTGGGAAGTGCTTTGTGGAAAGCTTTGTAGTACAAAGTAGTACTGGGAAGTGCTTTGTGCAAGCTATGTAGTACAAAGTAGTACTGGGAAGTGCTTTGTGCGAGCTTTGTAGTACAAAGTAGTACTGGGAAGTGCTTTGTGCAAGCTTTGTAGTACAAAGTAGTACTGGGAAGTGCTTTGTGCAAGCTTTGTAGTACAAAGTAGTACTGGGAAGTGCTTTGTGCAAGCTTTGTAGTACAAGTAGTAGTACTGGAACGTGCTTTGTGCAAGCTTTGTAGTACAAAGCAGTACTGGGAAGTGCTTTGTGCAAGCTTTGTAGTACAAAGTAGTGCTGGGAAGTGCTTTGTGCAAGCTTTGTAGTACAAAGTAGTACTGGGAAGTGCTTTGTGCAAGCGTTGTAGTACAAAGTAGTACTGGGAAGTGCTTTGTGCAAGCTTTGTAGTACAAAGTAGTACTGGGAAGTGCTTTGTGCAAGCTTTGTAGTACAAAGTAGTACTGGGAAGTGCTTTGTGCAAGCTTTGTAGTACAAAGTAGTACTACTTTGGAACGTAAGGACTTTGTGCAAGCTTTGTAGTACAAAGTAGTACTGGGAAGTGCTTTGTGCAAGCTTTGTAGTACAAAGTAGTACTGGGAAGGTTTTGTGCAAGCTTTGTAGTAACAAAGTAGTACTGGGAAGTAGTTTGTGCAAGCTTTGTAGTACAAAGTAGTACTGGGAAGTGCTTTGTGCAAGCTTTGTAGTACAAAGTAGTACTGGGAAGTGTTTGTGCAACTTTGTAGTACAAGAGTAGTACTGGAAGTGCTTTGTGCAAGCTTTGTAGTACAAAGCAGTACTGGGAAGTGCTTTGTGCAAGCTTTGTAGTACAAAGTAGTAACGGGAAGTGTGCAAGCTTTGTAGTACAAAGTAGTGCTGGGAAGTGCTTTGTGCAAGCTTTGTAGTACAAAGTAGTACTGGGAAGTGCTTTGTGCAAGCTTTGTAGTACAAAGTAGTACTGGGAAGTGCTTTGTGCAAGCTTTGTAGTACAAACTAAGTAGTACTGGGAAGTGCTTTGTGCAAGCTTTGTGGTACAAAGTGGTACTGGGAAGTGCTTTGTGCAAGCTTTGTAGTACAAAGTAGCAGTGGAACGTATTTTGTGCAAGCTTTGTAGTAAAAGTAGTAGGAATGTGTTTTGTGAAGCTTGTAGTAAAAGTAAGTAGCGACGGAACGGCTTGGCAAGCTTGTAGTACAAAGCAGTACTGGGAAATTGCTTTTTTTTTGTTGCAAGCTTTGTAGTACAAAGTAGTACTGGGAAGTGCTTTGTGCAAGCGTTGTAGTACAAAGTAGTACTGGGAAGTGCTTTGTGCAAGCTTTGTAGTACAAAGTAGTACTGGGAAGTGCTTTGTGCAAGCTTTGTAGTACAAGTAGTAGTACTGGAACGTGCTTTGTGCAAGCTTTGTAGTACAAAGTAGTACTGGGAAGTGCTTTGTGCAAGCTTTGTAGTACAAAGTAGTACTGGGAAGTGCTTTGTGCAAACTTTGTAGTCCAAAGTAGTAGTACTGGAACGTGCTTTGTGCAAGCGTTGTAGTACAAAGTAGTACTGGGAAGTGCTTTGTGCAAGCTTTGTAGTACAAAGTATTTCGGAAAGGCTTTTCTGTCTAAATGCATCTGTGCCTCAAGTGTCTGTAAGCAAAAACTTTCTGCGCCCACTGTTTTTCTTTGTGCAAGAGACTTCTCTCTGACAGTAGGAGCTTTCCGGCGTGCAGAACAGCTAAGATGAGTTGAGATTAACTTCGAGGAGATGAGAAAGGTTTGATCAGTGCTCGGATGAGATGAAAACAGTTGAGAAGAACTTACTTTGATGACATGTGAGAAGAGATGGGGTGAGATGAGAAGAGCTGAGATGAGGTGAGAAGAGCTCACGTGATTTGAGGTGAGATGAAGTGTCGAGTGCGAAGTGCAAGTGTGAAGTGCGAAGTGCAGGGTGTGAAGAGTGCAGTGTGAAGTGTGAGGAAAGTCTTCGCTTGGCGTTGCATTGCACCGGGGTCGCACGCAGGTCATGTTCTTGGACAGCAACAGTGCAACAGCTTCGCACAAAGTACGCGCGCATGGGCCTGGCCGGCGCACGGCGCATGCAAGTTCTATAGATGAAAAAGGTCTTCTAGTATATCCCTAAGGCAACTTCCGCCTCGCCTTGTGCGGGTGCGGGTACTACTGGTATTTGATCAACGGAAGTTGGGAAGCAATCTTCCGAGTTGCGGATGACTCTTATTGTGTCAGTTTGGGGAGTGGTGACTTTGGGATATGGTGACTTGGGGAAGTGGTGACTTTGGGATATGGTGGCTTATGGAAGTGGTGACTGAGGTGGTGGATTAGGGAAGTGGCGGCTTAGAGAAGCAGTGACTTGGAGAAGTGGTGACTTAGGGAAGTGGTGAGTTAGAGAAGTGGTGAGTTAGAGAAGTGGTGACTTAGGGCGGTGACTTGTAAAGAAGCGGTGACTTAGGAAGTGTTGACTTAGGGAAGTGGTGACTTAGGGAAGTGGTGGCTCAGGGAAGTGGCGACTTAGGGTAGTGGTGACTTGGGTCAGTGGTGAGAAGTGGTGACTTAGAGACGTGGTGACTTACAGATCGCATTGGAATCGTTGCGTGAATGTTGCCATATTGTGTTGCCATGTGCGTAGATACATGCGCCTTTGCCATTTTGCAGTGGATATCGCCTTGTAATGGCTGCATCAAGGTGCCTTGGTGCTGCGGCTGCGTGCGTGGTCTTTTGCAGGTGGGCATCGTAAATCGTATTGAAGTGGCTGGATCAAGGTTGCAATGGTGATTGTCAGCAGATTGTCGCAATTTTGGTGCTGATCATTTTCCAAGATTCCTTTTTTTTTCGCTTTGGCGCCGAGATCCGGTTTTGAAGCGGCAATTTCCGGTGCCATTTCGCGTAGTTCTATGACGTTTTGCAATGTTTTGCAATCCGCAGTTGCAAATCGCATTGTAATGGCCGCATCAAGGTGCCTTGGTGCTGCGGCTGCGCGTGTGGTCCCATTGTCTTTGGCAGCTGGGCTGCTTTGTTGATGTTGATGAAATATCATTACAAAGGAACTTGCATGCTTGCTGTAAGCGAGAGTTGGTGAGAGTTTGGCATTAAACGCAGAAACGCTAAATATACTATGGTCATCACCGCAATAGACATATTTGTACAAGCTTCTGTGTGTAAAAGCTTTCCTTTCCAAGTTGAGCTGTGTTCGGATGAAATGAAAATAGTTGAGAAGAACTTGGATGACATCTGAGAAGAAAGGAGATGAGATGCGAAGAGCTGAGACGATGTGAGATTAGGTGAGAAGAGCTGAGATGAGTGAAGATGAAGTGCGAAGTGTGGAGCTTCAAGTGTGACCTTCTCGCACGAAGCACGCGCGCGTGGGCCTGGCTGGTGCACGGCGCATGCAAGTTCTATAGATGAAAAAGGTCTTATAGTACAACCTTAAGGCAACTTCCGCCTCGCCTCGTGCGGGTGCGGGTACTACTGGAAGATATATGTCAGCGGAAAATGTGTGGAAGTATGGCAAGAGTGTGACCTCTAGTGAGATAACACATATTTTTGACAATATAAGCTAGTAATTCTCAAACAATGTCCAACACCATTTAACTATTAAACATATATCATAACTCGCAAAAATATTTAACAATATGTACATCTATCTCACAACATGTACCCAGAACTCGCCCTTCCATTCACTAGGCACCCACTAAGCATCCACCCAGCTGCGCGGCTTCGCAGCGCCTGAACTCGTCCCAGCCCCGTTTGAAGGCCACAAAGGCATCAACGAGCACTGGACTTGCAGCTTCTGCCGCGATGAAGCCCTTGTGGCTGGTCAAGAAATCCTGGAGAACTGGGCCGGCAAGGCTAACAAAGCAAATCATAGGTATCAAATCACGTATCAGTTTACATTTTAACTCATATCATGCGGTTGTTACACAATAGTCGCACAACGTAAGAACCCACACCTGTATATATATATACAACATTTCACACACACACACATATATATATATACATACACATATTCGTATATATATATACATATATGTGTGTGTATATATATAAAGCATTTGTAAGCATCGATATACAGCCGTAGAAATTGCAAGACCTCGGCGTCTGCATCAGGCGCCTTGGAGCCGTACATCTGAATCAGAATCGTCTTCAAAGCCTGTGGAAGCCGTGTTTTGTTGCCACCCGTCCGAAATGATATGAACAGTTGAGCAACAGTTATGAACTTCACCAAGCACGTCCTTTGTTCATGAAATGTCCCGAAACCATCCGAAACCACCTGGTAGTCGACCAGCATGGTTGCCATGGTGGTTAACGTGCATGCATCGGTAGTTCTGCTCAGCGGGGCCTTGGCAAGGTGTGAATGGGCGGGCCAAACTTCCACAAGGTCTCTCCAAACATTTCCCCACCTCAGGAACGGCGTATGAACTCGAAGTCCCACGCAGCAACTCCCAATGGGTCCGCTCAAACGCTGCAGTAGCTGCAAGATAAGGACCTCCCAAGAATGGCATTCCACATTCTGTCGCGTTCTGTCGCACTTGCATATGGGTTAAATACCAAAGGCGTCAAAGTACTCTAAGTGATTGTCGTTGCATGTCTGCTTGCGCGTGGCGTCCCCAGGCCCGCAGAGAAAGTTGATACTTCAAAACAAAAGGATGAGTCAAGATACCTTTACCCGTGCAGTCTTCACAGGTTCACTTGATGTGCTTGGATGGGTGTTGCGGTTTCGCCTGACGGTATCCAAAGTCCTTGATTTGGTGTATCTTCCTGGTACCCTTCCCACCACAAAGCGGGACTCATTCTTTTTGGCCCTGGCTGCTTACTTTTCCAATTTGAACACTTTGAACCTAACCGATTCCAGCTGGAGATTGGCCTGCTTTCTCTCGCTCTTGCTGCGCACTACAGTTTTTCGTCTTTGGACTGGTGAAGCTGAGTTCCTTTGTCCACTGCTGATTACTGCTCCGCGCTTTATGCGCTTTACCATCAACGTTTTTTGGTAAAAATTTTCGCAAAGTCTTCAGAAGAAAGGAACCTCGCAAGATTTTCCTCAAAGTAGCACGACCAGATCTCTGGAACCCTACCAGCCTAGTGGTTTAGCCTTTTCTTCATCACGCTTGGATTTCCAACCAACAGCTGCATGTTTCGAATGCGTTTACCACTTTGAGCTCGTGCTTTCTTTCAACATCTTTCAGCCAGGCCCGGGCTTCCGATTCCCTCTGCGCCCCCCTGCGGCCTGTTCTCCCCACGGCAGAGTCAGCTGAGTTGATCAGCAACGCTTCTTTGGCCATGTTTTGGAGCAAGCCAAGGTTTTGCTGAGCAGACTGCCACACAGCTGCCCTGGCGGCAGCACTGGCAGAACTCAGAACAGACATGCACAATAGCAGAGAGGTCGGAGATGTCACTGGGTCCTCTTGAATCGTCTCTGTGTCTCTGTGTCTCTGTGTCTCTGCGTCTCTGCGTCTCTGCGTCTCTGGGTCTCTCGTCTCTGTGTCTCTGTCTCTGCGTCTCTGCGTCTCTGCGTCTCTGGGTCTCTGCGTCTCTGTGTCTCTGCGTCTCTGCGTCTCTGCGTCTCTGGGTCTCTGTGTCTCTGTGTCTCTGTGTCTCTGTGTCTCTGTGTCTCTGTGTCTCTGTGTCTCTGTGTCTCTGTGTCTCTGTGTCTCTGTGTCTCTGTGTCTCTCTCTCTCTCTCAGTCTCTCCGAATGATCATCTCTTTGAGCTTGTGTAATGGTCTGTTTGTCAACATGTTCAAATCTTGCATGCTCCAAACTTCTCAATTAGTGTCTCTCTTTTCTGTTGTCATCGCATGTTTGTCGTCAGCTCAGGCATCTTTATTGCAACTTTTGTGTGCATCAACTGTAGCCGATTCCGTTTTTACCTGTCTCTGTCTCTGTCTCTGTCTCTCTCTCCCTCTCCCTCTCGCTCTCTCTCTCTGTCTCTCTCTGTCTCTCTCTCTCTCTCTCTTTCTCTCACTCTCTGAAGTTCTTAGAATATCTTCAGCTGGCATATACGCCGAACGTGTTTGTTCATCAACTCCTCTGATCCTTAGCCTTAGAACATGTTCATCTTCATGCCTGGTCCTGTCTTCTGACTGTTGTCGCTTCTACTTCCCCCGATTCTGGTAGCGAAGGTATGCACCTCGAAGAGGAGTCAGCAGAACGAGCAGCAAGGACATACAGCCGACCCACCTGCAGCAACGACGCTGAAATTTGGGTCCTGTCATGCCTTCACTGTCTCCGGAGCAAGAGACAAAGAAACAGGAACATTGACAGCTTTGTGGACATTCAAAATATGTCCGTTGGAAACCATTTCAGAAAGTGATGTCTGTGTCGCCATGGTTTGGTAAGCAAAACGGTGTGGAAGAAACATGGTGGGGGTACCGGTAACACGAGCATGCGTAAACTTGTGACAGGTTGAAACCAATCACACATCCACTCATTACTTCCAGCGCCACCAGTCACCAGTATTATCTACTTTCTGAATGCCTGCCTCCGCCATGATGTTTTTTAAGGCGGAACTTTGATAGGTGATCTTCTGGATGGAAGCCAAGTTCTGGGACATCGCTGCTTCACTGTGTGCACGCACGCTCCTGATCAAATCAGATTGAAAAAGCATCCAGGCGTCATAGGCGATCTTGAGCTGGTCGACAATCCTCAAGGATCTCAGAACGATCTTGGAACTATATCAGAAGGGTCTCAGACTCAAAAGGGTGTCAGAAGGGTCTTGTGAAGGTTCCGAACCGAATCCAGACCGCGGTCAAATCGTTTAAGCTACACCGGCAAGAGGCCCCAAACAGTGTGGGGGGGTTAGGAAGTCAATGTAGGAGATACAAGCAGCGGTAGCACTTGTTTTGGCAGAAGAAGCAAAAACTATGTCTACTCATCAGGACCTCGTGCCAGAACCTCATACCAGGACACCTGAGAATATTTCACAAGATCGTCAAAGAAGAACCTTCTACAGTGGATATGACAAGATCCTCACAGAATAACTTCCGAAGAGCATCCCGCCGGAAGAACTGTAATACAAGCACCTCTAATATATAGAGCATCTTCAAGATCTTCCTGCAAAGTCCTCTGGCGCCATTTCACTTGGATCTCCGCAAGATCTACTCCAGGACCTGTACAAGATCATGCAAGGACCTGTTAAACGATTTCGCCAGGATTTATTCTCAGAAGGACGAACAAGATCATGCAAGGACCTCCTGTCAGCACTTCACGGATCTTTGAGAAGCAGCTAAATTGAGCACCGTGCCGCAACGAGAGCGATCTGACAGGCACAAAGTATACAAAGTGACGGGAAGGTTGCGCGAGCGATACCAAAATTCGCACCTATAAACGCAATACAGGCGCAAAGTAGTCAGGAGAGGGTTGCGCGAGCGATATCAAATTCGCGCCGTACCACAACGAGAGCGATCTGACAGGCACAAAGTATACAAAGTGACGGGAAGGCTGCGCGAGCGATACCAAAATTCGCACCTATAAACGCAATACAGGCGCAAAGTAGTCAGGAGAGGGTTGCGCGAGCGATATCAAATTCGCGCCGTACCACAATGAGAGCGATCTGGCACCCACAAAATGACGATAAGGTTGCGCGAGTGATATCAAAATTCGCACCGCGCTACAATGGGAGCAGAGCGATCCACACAATTGACGGGAGGTTGGGCGAGCAATATCGAAATTCGCATCGCGCCACAACAAGAGCGATCCGACACGCACAAAGTCAGGAGACGGTTGCGCGAGCACATGTTCTTGCGCCAAATACTGTGCGCACCGCGAAAGATGAACTGTGAAAATGTCAAAAGCGATGTTTAGATCTAGGTTTTGAACATTTTTTGGTGAGGTCTACAAAGTACTGCGCCTGCCACGAAAAATGAGCCTCAGGCATCCGAAGTGCTGCACCTGCCACACGGAATCATCATCATGTCCCAAATCCAAAAATACCTGCCACGAAAAATGACCTCCGAAACCACCTCACCCAAAAAGTGTCCGGTATCCTGCGCCCGTCGCGCGAAAAAAACTTCCAGACCCAAAATGTACCGAAGAGACAATGCTGCCACGAGACATGGACGTAGCTCAAATCATTTTCTTCGAGTGATCCCAACCAGCTGATATTCTATTTGAATCTATTTGACACATATTCTGACATTCTATCTGGCACTGTTTCTGGCATATATTCTGACATTCCATCTGGCATTCTGTTTGACATTTTATCTGATATATAAACACACACACATATATATATATGGTGGTTGATCAAAATTCCCTTTTCCGGGAACGGCCATTCTTCGCGGATAAAAATTTTACTTTCGCGAAACTTTCGCGAACTCCATGTTTATCTTTCGCGGGGCCCATGTTGGCCAACAACACCTCTTATGAAGATTCGTTCACCACCTGCCAAATTACGCCAGAGAATCACGGATCACTTCTTGATAGCCTTTTAAACATGCAGCTAGCATCACGGAATCCCTTCTCAGGGCAGATTGTTGCTGACTAGGTTTTTTTTGGCAAGGTTTACTGGCCCACCCCCTTCAACATGCACTTTGACTTTCGCCGGCTCTTTCGCATAACTTTCGCGGAACTTTCGCGAAAATATCCCTATTCACAGACCCCCGCCATCAGCAAGGGGTGCATTGAAGGAAAAGCGAACACCAGGGGCCTTGGTGTTTGGCTCTCGCAAAGCCTCACTTTTGGAAACTTGGCTGCTGCATGTGGGTTGAGACTTCAAAAAGCATCATTAGGCAGTGACAGCGGCAGGTGCAAGGATGTGCTTCAGGATCATGGCGTTTGGCTGTCGCGAAGCCTCGCCTCTGGAGGCTCGGCTGCTACCTATGAAGGGTCCACAAGCACCAACACACAGGGAACTGAACCACCAAACCGAAATTCTCTAGTGACTCTAGTGCCCTTCTCCTGCCAGACCCCGGGCAGCAATGGGTGGCAGCCCTTTACATAATGATTATAATATCCAACTTTCGCGAAACTTTCGCGAATAAAAATTTTACTTTCGCGAACTCGAAAAAAAACTTTCGCGAGGGTTCCCAACATAACATGCACGGCTTTCGCAATTAAAACTCCTTACAAGGACCTTTAGATCGACCACCATATATATATATTATGTATATATGTATATTCTGACATTCTATCTGGCATTCCATCTGATGCATATTTTGACATTCTACCTGGCACATCCATGGCACCCTTTGTGGCATTCTATCTGACATCTTGTGCTCGCCGTTGATGTCCGGCAGTGACCACTGACATCTGGCGCTGGTGGTTGGTTGAAGTCTGGCAGTGCCCACTGACATCTGGAAATTTGGTAGGGGGCCCACTGACATTTGGAGCTCGCGGTTGATGTCCGGCAGTGACCACTGACATCTGGCGCTGGTGGTTGAAGTCTGGCAGTGCCCACTGACATCTGGAAATTTGGTAGGGGGCCCACTGACATTTGGAGCTCGCGGTTGAGGTCCGGCACTGCCCACTGAGCTCTGGGGCCCGCTGTTGAGGTCTGGCAGCGCGCGCTGAGATCTGGAGCTTGCGGTTGAGGTCCGGCAATGCCTGCTGAGATCTGGAGTTTGCAGTTGATGCGGAGGAGGTGGGCAAGATGTGAAGGCGAGCAGGCCAGCTCTGATAAAAGCTAGAGACCCCCACCTGGCAGGTGGGAAACGAGCACTGCGCGCAGGTCAAGTAGACGTTCAGAAACGAGCAAAACTAGATGCTCATTTTGTGCGAGCCTGCGCAGTCGAAACGCACATGGAGATCTCAAAAGGGAAATTTTGTGCGAGCCGGCGCAGACAAAAGCTGGAGGCCACAGCGAGCACCCTGACTTAACCCGGGCCTTTCACTTGTACTGTAAGACCCCTCAGTGTGGACGCGCTGTTTAGGGAAAAAGTGTCTGAAGGTTTTCTCGCGGTGTACCTATCTCAACATGGTCAGAACCGATGAAGAGAAAGAGGTGCTGGAACGAAATGCCAAGAAGAAGGGATGTCAGTAGGAAGATGTTGAGAAAGCGGGATGTCAAGAGCAAGCGGTGCTAAGAAACCGTTGTCAAGAGAATTTGGTATCAAGATTCAGAAGTGCCAAGAAAAAGATATTTCAAGAGAAACGGATGTCAAGAAAAGAAACGTGCCAAGAAAAAGGGGCGATTAGAGAAGAAACCTCAAGGAAAAAGAGATGTCAAGATCAAGGGGTGCCAAGAGAGAGGGACGTTAAGAGAAAGCAGAGAAAGGGGTGTCAAGAGAAAGGTGTGTCAAGAGAAAGGGGTGTCAAGAGAAAGGGGTGTCAGGAGAAAGAGTGTCAAAAGAAAAAAGACATCAAGGGTTGCGTTCCTACAGACCCCCCAGTCTTGTCCCATAAGCTTCCTACTGTATACATGACATATAACGTGGCAGAGCAGAAAGTGTATATTCAAAACTTCCATCACCAAGGAGCTCTTGAGAAGGGGCCACGGGCACTTTTTGTAGATGGGAACCTGCCACAAAGCTCTGCCACACAGGTCCCCCCCAGCCTGGATTTTAGGTGATTTATCTGTGACAGGTCCAGAGATTCTGCATTTGGATTTGTGAGGAAACATTGTCGCCGTAAAGTTGATGATAGGGATGGCAAAAACTTATGGCATGGGAAAAGGAAGAGGCTGAAGGCCATCCAAATTGTCAGCTCTTGGTTGTTGACACTTGGTGAAACTGAAACAAACCATACGAAAGACAACATGCCTAGCTGTGGCTCTTCCTATTTCACCACAAAGCGATATTTATCCCCTTAATCATTGGGACATATTATAAGGACCCGTGGGGCCTTTGTACGAATTGCCAATTGCGGCTGCAGCGTCGGTGATGGCTTGTGTGAGCATCAGCTGTTCAAGAGAGCTGTCAGTCTTTGTAAGCACCTGCGCACACGAGGCAACTTTGATCAACTCTCAAGGAAAAGGATGACATAACATGTAATAAACATGATCCAAAATGGTCATGGATACACAATTCTTGCAAAGAAACGCCCAAAGCAAGAAAACAGAATCCAGCAACTGTCCACCTTGCGCCACGTGGTTTGAACGGGGACAATTCTGCGGACCACAACAGCGCACGGCCAACAATGCCGTCTTACACTGAAAATCCACTGGATCAGTTTCAATGCGAAAACATTGTTCTTGAACGAAGATGCAATACGATGCAGCCCATGAACCCGAATGCAGTCACGTGAAACACTTTTGTGAAACAAGTTATGCGAACAGTCTTGTGCATTCTTCCCCTGTTACCGTAGCAGTGCACTGTAGACTGTGGCATGTGGAAGGGGGTGGAGTGCAAGGTGTGGAGTGTGAAGAAAGTGGAGTGTTGAGTGGGGAATGTAATGTGTAGAGTGTGACATGGGGATTGTGGAGTGTGGAATGTAAAGTATTAAGTGTGGGGTGGAAATGTGAAATGCAGAGTGTGGAGTGTAAAGTGTAAAGTGTGGAGTGTAAAGTGTAAGGTGTACAGTGTGGAGTGCAGAGTGTAAAGTGTAGAGTGTAAAGTGCAGGGTGTAGAGTGCGGAGTGTAAAGTGTAAAGTGTGGAGTGTAAAGTGTAAAGTGTGGAGTGTAAAGTGTAAAGTGTGGAGTGTGGAGTGTAAAGTGTAAAGTGTGGAGTGTAAAGTGTAGAGTGTGGAGTTTAAAGTGTAAAGTGTGGAGTGTAAAGTGTAAAGCGTAGAGGGTAAAGAGTAAAGTGTGGAGTGTAAAGTGTAAAGTGTGGAGTGTCAAGTGTAAAGTGCGGAGTGTAAAGTGTAAAGTGTAGAGTGGGGAGCGTGAAATGTAGAGTGTAAAGTGTAGAGTGTGGAGTGTAAAGTGTAAAGTGTAGAGGGTAAAGAGTAAAGCGTGGAGTGTAAAGTGTAAAGTGTGGAGCGTCGAGTATAAAGTGTAGAGTGTCAGAAATACTGCGCATTCCGCACACAACGGATCTGCACCAAATACTGCCCTGCCACGCAACAACGGTGTCCTACGCCTGTACCCTTGTCACCGCTTGACGCAGCCCTTACAATGCGATTCGCAAAAAGCACGCAGCAGCACACATCTAAAGTGCTGCACCTGCGACGCAAAATGCAACTCATCTTATGAAAACGACGCGAAAGTATTGCGCCTGTCACACAAAACGACGTTCGACACTTTTGCAGACACGTCAGAATGTGACAAAAAGTGCCACGCCTGCCACGCAAAACGACATTAGAACCTGCTTGGGAACCTTCGAAAATGAGAGGTTTTGCAGCTTCCCCCATTAGACAACGCCACAAGAAAACCAAAGAATCGAGACGAGACATGTTGGAGCCTCAAAACGAGCGTTTCGTGCGAGACTTCCTGAAATTTTCACACTTTGTAGCTACAAAATCGACGTTTTCCCACGAGTTTTCTTATGAACTCCAAAATCTACGACCTCAAACTCGATGTTTCGTGCAAAGCTTCCGTCGATTTTCATCATATGTCACAAAATGCCACGCCTGCCACGCGATCTGCACGTTGTCACCACTTGACGCAGCCCTGACAATGCGTTCCGATGCGTTTCGCAAAAGACACAGCACGACACGTCTAAAGTGCTGCGCCTGCCACGCAAATGACGATGGAGGTCACCACCCAAGTGCCATCCCTGCCACGAAAAATGCAATTCATCTTTTCAAAACGACACAAAAGTATTGCGCCTGTCACGCAAGACGACTTTCGACACGTTATGAAACATGTTGGAATGTCACAAAGTGCCACGCCTGCCACGCGAAACGGAGCTACGTGACATTTGAAACCTCCAAACGTGATCGCTTTTGCAGAACTCGCCGGGGGCGCGGCCATAGGGCCTTCACGCGAACGGTTGCGAACCGTTGCGAACGGTTGCGCAACGTCTAGCGAACACACCTTCAACTTCCAAACCCCAGAGTGAAACGGGAACCCTTGCTACGCATTCGGGAAAAAAGGTATTGATAGATTCCACAACCAAACAACCAAAGAGGGGCAACGCGCACCATCCAACCTAAGCCCAATATAGCCCAACCATGCACTAACGGTACAGCACACAGCTGCGCCAAAGGCAGCTCAAGACCGCGAGACCACTCGCTGGTCAGAAACCAACCCGAAAGACACACAGAGAACCGGAGGCAATCATGGCTAAACGATGCTAAATGTGGAGCTTCCAAATAGATCCAAATAGCCTGCATTCTATTTGGCATGACAGTATTCCACCGAGTGTCTTGCCACGGTGGCAAAAATGGCAAAATATGCGAAATGAAGGCATGCAGGAACTGATTCAACCGGCCTCAAGATAAACACGCGAAGCTTTGGCTACCAACCGCTCAAAGAGGTTACACTCTGTCAGGCCATTCTTCCAACTCGCATCGTCCATGCCACTGGCAGGTTGGCATGCAGGCTGCTCAATTTGCGCGTTCATAGCCTTGACATAATCCCGGAGCTTGTTTGAAGAGGTCATCAATTTTTTCGAGAGCACGCTGCCGCCTGTGGTCGTCACCTCCTGTAGTTCAGCCTCTAGCTGAAACCAAGCTTCTGAAACCTTCAGCATCGCTTGCAACGCGCAAACATTGGTGAGGTCATGAATGCCTGCAACCACATCTCCCCAGGTGATACTCTCAATCAGAGACGTAAACCGTTTCTGAAATAGAATCATCTCGGTGTAGTAGTACGACTGCCCGACATTGAGGGCGTAAAAGAAAGCCTTTACGACAATCCTTTCGGTGTAGGATTGAAGCCGGTACGCATAGTTCTCTAGCTTGGATTCCGTCACTCCTTGCATAGCGCCATAAGCCTCATACTGCCGAAGTGCCTGATCATATGCATCAACTAGTCGAGTGTATGAAGCATCCATGGCTTCCAATGTTGACATTGAAATGCTTGTGCCAAGACTGTTGGTCAGCAGGGCATGATATGCTGCTGTCTCGCTCACAAGCAGATCAACAGCTATTGAGGTTGCATTGGTTGGTGGAGCTATGATGTTCTTGCTCGGGTCTCCAAATTGGACGTCATTCAATCCGGCTTCAACACTTGCAGTGTCGCTGGCAAACATATTGGCGCCATGGCCGCCCATGGCAATGCACAGAAATTCCTTTGTCACAAAGCCAAAGTCAGCCTTCAACACCTCAATCACGTGCAGAGTGATCAAAATGGGGCTCAACGTGGCAGAGCCAAGCTGCCGCGGAGTCTCTGGAGTATCTGCGGTATCTGCATCACTGGGCAATGCTTGCCTTGTCGTATACAAAGCGTGGTTCACATTGAGACCAGTGGGAGCAGCCGATGCACAAAGAATCCAGATCGTCAAAAGTGCCTTCGCCGCACTGCACCACGAAGACATCATGCTCAACGACACCTACACAACATCTCGCTTCTGCTGCAGCAAAAATAGCATCGGCAGGTTGAAACCAAATTTTGGTGCATTTTCCCCTAGGTCTAGCAATGGCAAGATTTTTATTACATTGAATACTTATTGCTTGCATTGATTACATGATGCCAACATAACATGGACGCCAACACCACGGCGTCGGCCCGGGGTCTTCCAGCGGTCTGGGCGTCTGGTAAGATCCGGTAAGCCAACAGTTTCGCTTCGCCAAAACTGTGTCCAGCATAGACGCAGCCCAGCCCAAAAACTGCCACCAACTCGACTGTCTTGTTCTCTTCTGCCGCTTGCCGAGGGTTTGGATGTTGTTCATACAAAAATTCCAAAACCGCTGTGCTTGCAAATGCTTCTATAACTTTGGGAGCAAACTGTTCCTTTCCTAGAGTCTTTGTTGCGCAACACAATGTGGCAAGTTATCATTGACCGTGCTGTCCACAAATGCAAGAACCCTGCACCAACCTGTGGGTGGTGCTAACCCGTGTAAAATGACAACGGTCAAAGCACATAGACTGTGCAGTTGGTAAAAAAACAAGATTGAACGCAGGAAACCACATAAACGCCATTCGGCAATATATTAAATGATACTAAACGCCACTCCTTTTCTCCGCGGCACCAAACGGCGACATGTACCGTAGTACCCCGCCCACAAAGAAACGAAAACCTTTTGCTATGCTCCGACATGCTCCGACCCACAAAATTTCGCCTGTGGCATGATGAGTTGCAAATAGAGGAAAGGGAAATGCGAACACGGTCCTACATAGTTCAAGTTCAAGACAGTCAAGTTCGGGGCTTCATGTTATCTGCACTGTCGCAATGCATGAGACACATGATGAGCTGCTCACATTTTCTCTGCTGCAATCTGTCCTCAGATGGCTTCAACCATTGTGGTGCACATCCGATGAGGGTGGTACCTTGAGAACTCCTTGAGAACTCCTTGAGAACACCAATGAAAGTTCAGCGGCATTCAAATGTTCAGATGTTCAGATGATGTTCTCAAATGAGGTTCAGTCATTGTCAATGACTGTCAATGACTGTGCCGCGTCGCGCTCTGAAACGAAGATCGGGAAGCGCCCAGCTGGGCCGTGGGACAGTGGGCGCTGCCCCCGACCACAGTGGAGCCATTGGCCGCTGCGGCCGTGCTTTGAGAGAAACAAAGGCGGGTCTCTGGGCTGAGGATTCTCGGGCTCTCCAAACTCCCTGCATCCAAATATGTATCCCTCTGCACGTACACACTCGCGTGTAATTTATGGTAACTGTTTCATTACCAGTAGTACCGCGCAAGGCGGTGGCGGAAGTTTCAAGGATAGGACACTATAGGAGAGGTGAGTTGTTGTGATGCATGGATGGCAGAGCGAACCCACTGATGGACCGAAAGGTGGTTGGAGTTGTTGCAATGGTTGCCGTGGTCACCTCACCCACAACTGCTGGATGTATTGTGGTGTAGCGCAGTCGTAGTTGTAGTTGTATGTGTAGTGTAGTGGAGGTGCAGTTGTAGTGTAGTGTAATTAGCGTAGTGTAGTTGTAATTACAATTGTAGTGGTGTGGTGTAATTAGTGTAGTGTAGTGTAGTGTAATGTAGTGTAGTGTACTGAAGTATTGTGTATTGTAGTGTAGTATAGTGTAGTGTAGTCTAGTGTAGGGTAGTGTGAAGAAGTGTAGTTGTAGTTGTAGCTGCAGTGTAGTGTAATTGGTGTAGTGCAGTGTCGTGTAATGTAGTGTAGTTGTAGTAGCTGCAGTGTAGTGTAATTGGTGTAGTGCAGTGTCGTGTAATGTAGTGTAGTTGTAGTGTGAGGCAGCGTAGTATATTAGTATTAGTATTTGTATTAGTATTTAGTAGTAGTAGTAGTAGTAGGTAGTGGTAGTGGTAGTGGTAGTGGTAGTGGTAGTAGTGTAGTGGTGGTGGTGGCGGTGGTGGTAGTAGGTAGTGTAGTAGTGGTAGTAGGTAGTGTAGTAGTAGGTAGAGGCAGCAGCAGCAGTAGTAGTAGTAGTAGTAGTAGAAGCAGTAGAAGCAGTAGTAGCAGTAGTAGCAGTAGTAGCAGTAGTAGCAGTAGTAGCAGTAGTAGTAGCAGTAGTAGCAGTAGTAGCAGTAGTAGCAGTAGTAGCAGTAGTAGGAGTAGGAGTAGTAGTAGTAGTAGCAGTAGTAGCAGTAGTAGTAGTAGTCGTAGTCGTAGTCGTAGTCGTAGTCGTAGTAGTAGTAGTAGTAGAAGTAGTAGTAGTAGCAGCAGTAGTAGTAGTGGTAGTAGTGGTAGTGGTAGTAGTGGTAGTAGTGGTAGTAGTGGTAGTAGTGGTAGTAGTGGTAGTAGTGGTAGTAGTGGTGGTAGTGGTGGTAGTGGTGGTAGTGGTAGTGGTAGTAGTGGTGGTGGTGGTGGCGGTGGTGGTAGTGGTAGTGGTAGTGGTAGTGGTAGTGGTAGAGGCAGCAGCAGCAGTAGTAGTAGTAGAAGCAGTAGAAGCAGTAGTAGCAGTAGTAGCAGTAGTAGCAGTAGTAGTAGGAGTAGTAGCAGTAGTAGCAGTAGTAGCAGTAGTAGGAGTAGGAGTAGGAGTAGGAGTAGTAGTAGCAGTAGTAGCAGTAGTAGTAGTGGTAGTGGTAGAGGCAGCAGCAGCAGTAGTAGTAGTAGAAGTAGTAGTAGTAGTAGCAGCAGTAGTAGTAGTAGAAGGAGTAGTAGTAGCAGGAGTAGTAGTAGTAGTAGTAGTCGTAGTAGTAGTAGTAGTAGCAGTAGTAGCAGTAGTAGGAGTAGGAGTAGTAGTAGTAGTAGCAGTAGTAGCAGTAGTAGTAGTAGTAGTAGTCGTAGTCGTAGTCGTAGTCGTAGTAGTAGTAGTAGTAGAAGTAGTAGTAGTAGTAGCAGCAGTAGTAGTAGTAGTAGAAGGAGTAGTAGTAGCAGGAGTAGTAGTAGTAGTAGTAGTAGTCGTAGTAGTAGTAGTAGTAGCAGTAGTAGCAGTAGTAGGAGTAGGAGTAGTAGTAGTAGTAGCAGTAGTAGCAGCAGTAGTAGTAGTAGTCGTAGTCGTAGTCGTAGTCGTAGTCGTAGTAGTAGTAGTAGTAGTAATAGTAGTAGTAGTAGTAGTAGTAGTAGTAGAAGTAGTACTACTAGTAGTAGTAGTAGTAGTAGTAGTTGTAGTAGTAGTAGTAGTTGTTGTTGTTGTCAAAGGATGTTGGGAAGCAATACTTCCGTGTTACGGGCAAATAGAATTGTGAGACTTTACCTTGAAGGGTGGTGTGAGGCTTTACATTACATGACAATACATCACAAAAGAATTGACCTCGGTGAAGGGCGGTGTGAGGCTTTACATCACATAACAATACATCACAAAAGAATTGACTATAATGAAGGGCGGTGTGAGACTTTACATAACATAACAATACATCACAGAAGAACTGACCTTGATGAAGGGCGGTGTGAGACTTTACATCACATAACAATACATCACAAAAGAATTGACTATAATGAAGGGCGGTGTGTCTTTACACTACATAACAATACATCACAAAAGAACTGACCATGATGAAGGGCGGTGTGAGACTTTACATCACATAACAGTACATGACGAAAGAATTGACCTTGATGAAGGGCGGTGTGTGACTTTACATCACATAACAATACATCACAAAAGAATTGACCTTGATGAAGGGCGGTGTGTGACTTTACACTACATAACAATACATCACAAAAGAATTGACCTGCATGAATGTTGCATGGGGCTTTTGTTGGGGCGTAGTCCTATGCGTTTCTTGAACCTGTGGTTGCAGATCGCATCGGAATGGCTGCATGATTGTTGTCATCTGGTGATGCCATGTGCGTAGATGCATGCGGGTTAGCCACGTCATGCTGCAAAACGCATTGTAATGGCTGCATGAATGTTGCATGGGCTTTGTTTTGGGGAGGAAGCCGGAGCACGAAACCTTGCGTTTTTGCGTGTAAAGTGGCTGCAGCCGCCGATGAAAGGTACCTCCTGTGTGCGGCGGGTGCGGTTTGGATCGTTTCGAGGTCAATCGGTTCCTCCTCTGTGTTCTGCAACGAGTGGTTGTTCCTGTGTGCGTAGTTCCATGCGTTTCTTGAACCTGTGGTTGCAGATCGCATTGGAATGGCTGCATGATTGTTGACATCTGGTGATGCCATGTGCGTAGATGCATGCGGGTTAGCCACGCCATCCTGCAAAACGCATTGTAATGGCTGCATGAATGTTGCATGGGCTTTTTTTTTGGGGAGGAAGCCGGAGCACGAAACCTTGTATTTTTCCGTGTAGAGTGGCTGCAGCCGACGATGAAAGGTACCTCCTGTATGCGGCGGGTGCGGTTTGGATCGTTTCAAGGTTTATCGGTTCCTCCTCTGTGTTCTGCAAAGAGCGGTTGTTCCTGTGTGCGTAGTTCTATGCCTTTTTGAATCTGTGGTTGCAGATCGCCTTGGAATGGCTGCATGATTGTTGTCATCTGGTGATGCCATGTGCGTAGAAGCATGCGGGTTAGCCACGTCATGCTGCAAAACGCATTGTAATGGCTGCATGAATGTTGCATGGGCTTTGTTTTGGGGAGGAGTTCCTCCTCTGTGTTCTGCAACGAGTGGTTGTTCCTGTGTGCGTAGTTCTATGCGTTTCTTGAATCTGTGGTTGCAGATCGCATTGGAATGGATGCATGATTGTTGTCATCTGGTGATGCCATGTGCGTCATGCTGCAAAACGCATTGTGATGGCTGCGTAGGTTGCTTGGTGCCGCGGCTGCATGCCTAATACTATAGTTACTATTGTCTTTTGCAGCTGGGCATTGTAAATCGTATTGGAGTGGCTGCATCAAGGCTGCGAAAGTGATTTGTCAGCAGATTTTTTCAATTTTGGCGCTGCTAATAATTTTCCTTTTAAAATTCCTCTTAAAAAGTGCTTCAAAATCGTCTTTTTTCGCTTTGGCGTTGAGATTCGGTTTTGGAGCTGCAATTTCCGACGCCGTTGCGCGTAGTTCTATTGTGTTTCGCAACTCAGTCTGTGCAAATCGCATTGTAATGGCTG